AGATTTTATTCTTGTGCAAGTTCATTGGTAAAACATGTCAAAGTAGAAATGTTTCAAATTGCCTTTCTTTTTATTTAATCATTTCACTCCAAGCAAGGCAATAAAGCCACTGAGAGACAATGTAAGAGAATATAAGAAAAACAATTAAGGAGAGAGAATAATAAAAAAAACGGAAATTAAGAAGACAAAAGATAACAATTGACATTGAATTTAAATCTTTGAAAAGTTGATTGAAAAACAAGAAATTGAATGGGAGTTCCACAAGTAAGAAGTGATTTTAAATGAAAATAAATTGATGGATCATCTTGTTCTACTATGATTTTGAATCATTTTTTCTTTTCAATTTCATGGATATATGTAAACTTGTGGTTGACTTTCTCTTGAAACATACTTAAATACATTAGTTATCCTTTTATTAATTAATTTTATTAAGAAAATAAAAAAAACAATTTTTCTATAATTTTGAAAGAGCACAGCTTGAAGCTCAAATTGTGCTCTTGCAAAATTATGGCAAAATTCTTTCTTTTATTTTCTTAATAAAATTAATTAATAAAAGGGATGACTAAAGTTCCAAGAAATTAGCCAATAAATTGTCAAGAGCACTGCAAGGTGGTGTAATGGTTAGCAAGCTTGTCCAGCTAGAACAATTACATCTGAGTAGTGAGTTCGATCCTCACTGGGTGCCCCATACTTTCGGCCTTGTGCCACATCTGAGCTACGCTTGGAAAATCACTGGGCAGTCGACACGCGGTCTCTGACTGTGTTCGACTTCTGTCGAACTCTCTGCTTTGGCAGAGAGGAACCTGGACGAATCTTTGCCGAAGGGCAAAGTTTCGTCCGGGGAGGTAGACAGATCTCGAACCCGGTTATGCGGGTTCTAAGGGAATATTTTTGGCCGAGCCTACAGGCTCGGAGAAACCCACGTTAAACTCGGCCTTGTGCCGCATACGTTCCTCGTGAGGGGGCTGTTAAATATACAGCAATTAAATTGTCAAAAGCGAAGTTGTCTCCCTTCGAATGTTTTCTTACACGCATTTGAAACTTAGCCATGTCTGTATGCATGTTGAGAGAAAAAAAAAACTAATTTATTTCGTAATATGGAGCATTTGACATTTATTACTTTATCAGGTCATCTCTTCATTTCGCTGATGCTGAATTAGGAAGAAAAGTATTTTCGGAAAAGTAAGTTAGTTGCTTGTAAAAATTTACTGTGTGAAAAATTATTTAAAAAAACGGATTCGATATCTAAACATTTTGATTATATAAGCTTCTCGAATTTTTATTATTAATTTTTTAAAAGTTTAAATGTAATAATTTGTATTGCTTTCGTATTTTTCAGCTTAAAATATTTATAAAAAAGTCTATTTGTAACATATGCAATGTTCACTTTAAAGTAAAATTATTATTCGCTGAAATCTTAGATTCGACTTGCGAAGATAGTCTAATTTGTCATCACAACAACAAATCATTCTCCTTAGAATACTATTTACTTATCGTTATCAAACACATTAATGTGCAAGTGGTACTCTTTGCTTGTTTAATGAGTTCGGTATTCATTTGGTGTTCAAGTTTGTAGGTAATTTTTTTTATTCTATTACACCCGTCTCCCTTGACCTAATGAGCATGATTTAATTCCACCCTTATTTCACCATCATTGGCCAGTTGACTACTGAAAGAGCATAAGATAATAGTCGGATATGAGACAGGTGTAAATAGTAAAATACCGTATTGTAGCCTTGAGCCAGACAAAAATGAACTTAACTACTTTAAAAGTTTAGTGTATTAACAAGCGAAAATACATTGATTGCCGTTGATAAAATATAGTTGTGATTTTACTTTCCAAATAAACTTTTTATGATTACTGCACAACTAGAATTCCTCTCCAAATAATCAGTATGGGTTAAGAAGACTTATAATAAAAATTCTTTAAGATATTCGGCAATCTTTTGGTAAAATTCCTAAAAAGGGAAGCTACTCTAACTTTCCTTAATACTAATTTGAATGGAAGAGAAGCAGGGACTGGGAGAGCGAATAATCTAGTTAAGGAGCTTGTGTGAATAGATGGCAAAGCAGGGACAAAGAAGGATGGTAGAGTAGTGTCAAAAATTAGAGTAACAAAATATAAGAAATTTGTGAAGAATCGTGATCGCCAACGTACTTGGAACATAAAAGAATAATTTTGTAGAAATTAAACTGTTTTAATTCATCAAATAGGAGTTGCTTCCCTTCTTTTAATTTTAGAATTTACACAGATATACATTATCATTTAAACGAAAGTTCCTCATCACGCGGGTAGCTTGAGACAAACAAACACAAACACACACACACACACATATATATATATATATATATATATATATATATATATGGGTGCGTATCGAGGCTCTTTACAAACGGTGCAGTATCCAAAGTTTTATACAGATAAATCTGAAGTACTAACTTCTGAAAGGTCTTTTAAATCAATTGTATGGAATCAAACTTCTAAAATGTTTGTTATTCGATGAAATGCAATCCAAATTAAAAAATCATAATTTAAAGGTAGTAATTATTGCTTTTCGTAACAGCAAAAATATAAATTCTTTGGTCAATATTTTTCCAACGGAAATGTTTTTACTTTTTTTTTATTTATCTTGTGGGTTACCCAAACATAGCTTTCTTTGCCAATTTCGCCAAGACACTTTCTGGCCTCTCTCTTTCCCACTTCTTTTTTTTTTTTTTTTTTTTTACTTCTAACTTTTAATAACACTCACTGGGACCTTGTCCTGGGCATAGGGTTATCATTCCCCTTTAGTGACTGAATTTTTCTCCCCGCTCCACGTGTATTCCATTCACGCAATTCCTAACTTTTAATGTCTTCATTATTTTGCATGCATACTAGTGTATTTTCTCTCTCTTGTTACTTATATATACTTATATCTCTCATATATATATATATATATATATATATATAGGCATGCTTTCTCGTAAAAAAATGATGTGCCAAAAGGACGGTTGTTCTCCTGACACCGCTATTACAGAAAACTCCCTTCACTCCCTCACTAATGTTTATTGTTTTAAAAAGCGATGATTAGAATTTTTGAACTCAAACATGAAAGTAGATTTATATTTTCTTCGTTCTTGAGAATTGTCAAAGATATTAAATTGCTTATTTACAAGAATAATTTTATATTTACAAGATTATAAAAATATATGAACCAACCATTTGAAATATTTATTATTTACCATTATCCATATGAAAATAATTATTTTATTCAAAAATGTATAAAAATATGTCTGTGAACAAGAAAATTTAAATAAAAAAGCAAAATAACGAATAACTCAAACTGTAATCATAAATTTCGAAAAAATGCATTTTCCAGTCATTTCTTTCATTTGTGCTGGCCGCATAAATTCACTAAAATAGTTTCATAGTTAATAAAAATTGTAGTTGGTTTATTTAGATAATTTTATATTTTTTTATGAATTTGTTAATAAGAAGATTTAAAAAAAAAATTTTTTTTTTTATAAAATGGTAAATAATAAACCTCGCGTTGTACTTGGTTCATATATTTTTATAAGCTTTTAAATTAATGTTGCACTAATAGCGGTTGTGGAAAAAATGGGGTAGGTTGGACGGCTATTGACTTGTTGAACTCTCTGCCTTCGCGCAGTGAGGAACCCAAATGAGGCTATAAGGGTAGTGTCTCGTCTGGGGAAGTAGACAAACCAGACCCTGCATATGCGGGGATCTATGGGGAATTTTTGCCTGAGCTTACGGGCTCGAATAGACCCACATAAAAACCGGCCCTATGTCACATCCTACCTTGTGGGGAGGTCGGGTAAATACCGGCTTCGCGACTTTTGCTATAAAATGTCTGCTCCGATTAATTTTTGCATCGGTTGTTGTCAGTCATTGTTATCAGACCCAGGTTGGGAATGGATCACGTTTTCCTTCGTTACCTTGGTTTGTAGGTACCTCCATCTTAGAGTCATCTTTTAGGTCGATTTTTTTTTTCGACACGGTGTCAAAGTAATGACCGTCCTTTTGGCACACGTTTTCTTTTTTTTTTTTTTTTTTGCGTGCACGGAAGTTAAACATTGCCAACAAAAATATAAAATATCGTCTTGTTGAAATTTATTCAATTTCCTTACACCTGTTAATTTTGGTTGTCACTACTTTTATTCTAACTAAAATCAGTATCGCAATAATCTACAGACGCTGAAAGAGCGCTTTGTAGAACATGTTGTAGCAGAAATGATTACCAAGATACTAACAATCTTCATGAAGATTGACAATACACCGTGAACACCATTCTTGTAAATTGCTTGTGAACCTGATTGATACGTAAGCTTCATGACAAACTTTGTGTAGCGTGCCTTTTCTGCTTTTAGGAGCTCTAGATCAACACTGTGATACAGCAAGTTGACCGTGCCGATCTAACGCATCCTGATTGAGAATAAGATCGCTGAGTGCTCAAAGTATGTCTTGACCTTTGCAATTAAATGGCGATTCCATTTCCACAACAACCTTATGCAAACTAGTTCAATGATAATTCACCAAACAGTGTTTACAATCGACGAAAGATATTTTTTTATCCGTGGAACTCTTGCTTCCTTGAATGAAAATCATGTGCCATAGCTGATTTCTTTGGTAATTTTACTTAACTTTTCAGCGCATTCCCAAACGTTTTTAAAGTTTTTCCTTTCTTTATTCAATAACAGTTTCTTTGTAGTAGTTTTTCTACTTGTTATAAAATCTGCAGTCTTCCTCCAGAGATATTTGTTGAGATTGTTTGGGTATGACAGCATTATTTTCAGTTCAACTAATCAAATTATAAAGTTGAAATCGAATATAGCATTCAATAATGCGCTGCTATGTGTATATATTTTGGAGACTTGATCATTTGCCAAGACTTTCAAAATGTCTTTACGATCTGAAGCAATTTTTCTTTTAATTCTTCGTATCTACACTATCATTTTGTTACAAGTTGAGATTTGTCTGTGGGCTTACGGTCTATCACGTTGAAATACTGGTTCTCGTACGATCACAAAAATTAAGCAACGTTGAATCTTGTCAGTACTTAGATGAGTGATCGCTTGGGAATACCAGATGCTGTTACCTTGGATGCGCTGATGGTGTAATAGATAACGGCTCGGAATTGGAAATCGGACAGCCAAGTTCCAATTCCAGTCGGGATCGTTATATTCACTCACGCGTAAATACTCTTGGGAATGATATGAATGCACCTTTTCTCCTCCCAGCTATGTGTTAATTAGTAGGGCTTGTATCAGTAAATCTTTTATTATCCCCAAAACTTCTTACAATCTAAAATATTTTCTACAACCACATACAACATAGATAATGGCATTACTCCCCGATGAATTGGAGTTAGTGTATCGGAGATAGCGAACAAAATATACAACAACCAGGAAAAAAACGTATACGCCACTTCATACTCAACAAAATCACATCACCACCAACGGACGAGCCAAAAAATTGTCTCAGCTTGAAAAAATATAACGTACTTCCCCACACAAATCCAGAGTTTGGCACAAAACCAAAAATTTCATCGTTTTTGCCCAGAAATCAAAAATCGATCCTACTCTCCGCGCAGAACAAGCTGGGGTAGGTCGAACTTATTCCCCAGAGAGCGGCTTACCTAGGATACCTGTTGGTATCATTATTGTTGTGTATGATACACCTAATTTACATAAGTGGAGTACCGACCATATAAATATGGGTTGGTACCGGAAGACGACGGAAGATTAAGAGATCGAATCCAGAGACTCTGCCCGACTGCGACTTAGTCAACCCATTCTGCAGGAACAGTCTTCCCAAGAATATACCAAAACTACCTGTAAATATTGTGTACCTTTTTTCATTGTTTCAATACATTTTGTTACGTACATTTTGTGTTGTATTATTATTATTCCATGCTTATTCAAGCTTCAACAATTATAAATTTGGAAAAGAGACGGGGAAGTGCAGAGAACCATGCATTTTCAATTCAAGAAACTCCCACACTACTGCAGAACACTAGTGAAATGATTACTCCGGCAGGAAGTAAAGACGACATTAGCTACTGGAATAGAACAGAGATGTCGTCTGTTTTACACCCGGGACAAAAATACCAGATATTTATTTTTAGTCGACACCGGTGCACAAATCAGTGTTATTCCACCGCACAAAGTTTTCAGAGACTTATTGGCAAAGTTTTGAGAGGATTACCTTTCGTCTTTGCATATATCGATGACGTTCTTATTGCTATTCGTGATAGCAAAGAACATCAGGGTCACATACAACAAGTTTTCGCAAGACTAACACATTTTGGTTTAAAGATCAACGTTAACAAATGTAAGTTTGTTGTTTCTAAATTGAACTTTTGGGGCCATGTGATCGACGAACACGGGATCACGCCTGTACCAGAGAAAGTAGCAGCGATACAAAATTTCTACAACCACTGCGAGAGCTACGAAGACACCTCGGTTTGATTAGCTATTACCGTAGATTTATTCCAGGTTGTTCGAGTCTTATCCCCACTCACAAACATACTGCAGAAACAAAACAAAAAAAAATAAGAATACAAAAATAACTATAGAAAGGAAAACATTAACTGGCATTACATGACACAAAAGCACTAGGAAATTTCATAAACTCTCCTATGTCAGTGATGATGACAACTCAACACTCACATTGACGGCCAACGGACGCTTCGGCAAATTCAATTGGATCAGTTCAGTTCTACACCAGAAGCAAAATTGCCCAGAAAAACAAATTTCATTTTACCTTACAAAACTGAATAACGCACAACAAAAATACAGTACCTTTTCGAGGGAGTTACTCGCAATTTACTTATCTATAAGGCATTTCCGATACCTGATCGAAGCGCGAGATTTTACTGTTTTCACGGATCACAAACCTCTCACTTACGCTTTGCACGTGAATACTGACAAATATACACGCAGAGATAACCGACAACTCCGTTACATTAAATGTTCAGACAATACTGTGGCAGGTACATTCTCGCGCTCCACAGTACAATCTCTAGATTCTGAAACTCTTATCTTCGGCCTCATCGTTGAGGAACAACAAAACGATGCCACATTAAACAGAGTAAAAAAAGGATACTTCTTTACAATTGAATGAAAATCCTGTCCCATTTGGAACGAAAACACTGCGATGTGGGAACAGGTTATTCGTGACCATACATACCACCTTCACTGAGAAAAAAAAGTTTAAACGCTTTCACAACTCTTATATCCTGGACGCCAAGCTACCGTCAAGTTGATTAGCAACCGTTTTGGCTGGCCCAAGCCGTTTGCATTCTTTTTCTATAAGATTTGGTGTACAGAAATTTTCTTAGCATGTAGAATGCAGCGTACAATGAACTTTCAGAGACTGAAACTAACTCTAAAAATTTAATAATCTCTCAATTTACTTATGAAATAAGGTGAATTGAAGACCCAACTGAAACGTTACTGTAGGGATGAAGTCAAAATATTTCAGTCAAGTCTATTTTATAATTAATCAGATTACAGGACAGCCTTTGAACGAACAGCATTACCCCAGCAAAGAAGGATGTAAATATACTGCTATCATTTTTAACTACTTAAATATAAGAAAATGACTTTAAATAAACTACATTTTATGGCAATTAAAACTTGTTCCCTGAAATTTTGTCAGTTCTAAAATTGTAGATAATATTGCTTTTATCTGTATCTCTCTGTATCTCTGGTATCATTTTAAAGATTACCAACAACGATAAAATAAATGATACTCAACTGTTTAGTGTAGTAAAAAGTAAAAAGACAATACTTTGATGTTTTAGTCCAAGTAGGCGCGCCGCAGTTGCTTTAGCCACAGCCGTGAGTAAGATTTATAACTGTAATTACAAGATGGCATGTTATTATCGGCATTTTCTGCTTCAAAAGAAACCTAGAAGATTGTCGTAAAATGAGAAGTTTTAGGTTTAGGTCTCTCAGTAAAAGCTGAATATTTGTAGCGACCTCCTTTATTTAAAATACTCTCTTTGTATCTCTCTCTCTCTCTGGTGTGGATATTAGACAATTAACATGCTAATGTAAGAACTGTTTACTACAACAGAAATAAACACGTATAAAATGGTTCTTAAACCAAAAAGGAGACATAATAATAATAATGTATGATAATAATTTCTATAACTTTTTTTTAATGCCAAATGTTTTGTCATTCTAGATTTCCGATGGAACTATATTCTATTGAAAGAACTTTTTGCTATATTCTGTATTGCATATTTAAACTACTCGAAAGCTCAAACTGTATGCTTTAACCATTGCTTAAAATACGTTTTTATACTAACCGAGATGCCGGGCGTTGCCCGGGTGTACATGGCTGTAATTGTATAACCGCACCCTCCTATCTAGAAATGTCTGCATGCGTCTCCGCTTGCATGCATCATCCGTTGGTATACTAAGCTACTACCCCTCACCTCATCTTTTTTACGGCATGTCCCTCGCAAGTGTTTGATTGTTCTTAATAAAGGAATTCCATCGATAAAACCTTCTTGTATGGTTGTTGCTCGGGGTTAGATTGTTTCAATGTTTTAGATATTCAGTAAATTTCCTATGGCCGTAATCACTTTCAAATAGTATTGTATTGTTTACAAATCTAATAAACAAAAACAGGGATGAAGCTTGATTCAAGGGCAAACGCATGAACATCCCCTCCTTCTTCGTACGTTTACTGTAAAGCTGGTGTTAATACGAGGTTCTTCGGAAATATTTTATCCCTTTTAACGCTTCAATAATACTTCTGAAACAATCTTTTCATCAAAGGTTGTTCGAATGTCAATTTAAGATGGATTCATATGAAGAATCAATTGGCAAAATGAGACATAGTTTGTTGCAGATTTTGTCCACTTAAATGAAATAATCTAAACCAAACATTCACGCAAGTCAATTTGTGTGTCATGTAATTCACATAGCAAATTTGGAAAGCATCGCATGAAAAACTAGGGTGTTATGGCCGAAAAAAACGTTTTTTTTTTAAACAGTTTTTCCTTGTTTTTCTTTATACGCGGGGAAGCGAGCATGACTAAAACCACACTATCTTATTGCTTGCATGATGATAAGGTGTTTGCGATATGTTTGAAGAAAATCAGATAAAAATGAAGTTATTCAAGTTTTTATTTTAAGTAGTAAGAAAAACCCGAATGTTTTGCAATTTTTTTGTGTGAAGTCAATATTGCAGGAAAACTATCAAGCACACTACATAAACATCGTAACATGAGCTATATTTTGCATTAAGTGCAAAGCACATCAGCTCATCCAATAAAAATTTTGTTCGCGTGTAATTTGCAAAAAATCTTACCCGCCTTCAGTTTTATCAATTTTTTTTTCCCGAATCCGGGGCCTGGAGATTGAAAAGTTGGTCTTGACATTGTTTGGTAAATTTGAAACGTGTGTACAATTTCATCGAAATCTGTCACGAAATGTGGACGTGCATAAATAGCACACACAGAGAGGCACACAGATCTTCTGTTTTATAGATGTATAGCAGCCATACCCAGATAGTAGAGCAGAAAAAAGCGTTCAATTAGCATGGAGCAAAAGCAGCATCATGTTTAGATATAACAGAGTCTATCTTCTTCAATTATTTTAAAGTACTTTCATTAAAAAACATTGTGAATTAATGCAATTACAGATATAACTGAAGTAGTCTGTGGAGCTCCCGACGTACTGTGCGTGTAGAAACTGTATTGGTTAAGTGAATAATGAGTTCTGGTGTCACCTTTGCTGCAGTAATTTTATCATTTTTTTCCACGATTCGTTTTAAAGCTCCTCCATCTTTTTCGGTCAACTTTGGTTTCTGTCCACTATTACTCTTTGCTGATGATATTTTGCCTTGTTTTGTGTAAGCTGTCATAACCGTAGACAATACAACTCGTGACATATTTAATAATTCAAATGTTTTGGTCAGAGATTCTCTTGCTAATCGAGCACCAACTATTTGTCCTCTTTGAAAATCAGATAGGTCGCGCATTTTTGAATGTATCTCTTTTACCCGAAGGTAAATAATGACTTGATTAAGTGGAAAAGCAAGGTAAAGGATTAAAGAGCCGGTTTGATGTTTACAAATA